ACCCAATCAAAAACAGGCAGAGGATTTGAACAGACATTTTACCAAAGAGGATATTGAAATGTCCAACAAGCACATGAAAAGATGCTCAACATCATTAGCCATTGTTGTTGTTGTTAGGTGCTGTCTAATTGGTTCTGACTCATGGTCAACCCCATGTACAACAGAATGAAACACTGCCTGGTCCTGTGTCATCCTCATGATCGTTGTTATGCTTGAGCCCATTTTTGCAGCCACTGTGTCAATCCATCTCATTGAGGGTCTTCCTCTTTTTCAATGACCCTCTATTCTATCAAGCATGATGTCCTTCTCCAGGGACTGATCCCTCCTGACAACATGTCCAAAGTATGTGAGAGGAAGTCTTGCCATCCTTGCTTCTTAGAAGCATCCTGGCTGTACTTCTTCCGTGACAGATTTGTTGGTTCTTTTGGCAGTCCATGGTATATTCAATATTCTTTGCCAACACCACAATTCAAAGGCATCAATTCTTCTTCTGTCTTCCTTATTCATGGTTCAGCTTTTGCATGCATATGAGGCAATTGAAAACACTATGGCTTGGGTCAGTCACACCTTAGTCCTTAAAGTAACGTCTTTGCTTTTTAACACTTTAAAGAGGTCTTTTGCAGACATTTGCCCCGTGCAATGAGTTCTTTGATTTCTTGACTGCTGCGTCCATCACCCATTGTGGATCCAAGTTAAATGAAATCCTTGACAACTTCAGTGTTTTCTTTGTTTATTATGATGCTGCTTATTGGTCCAGTTGTGAGGTTTTTCATTTTATTTATGTTGAGGTGTAATCCATACTGAAGGCTATAGTCTTCGATCTTTATCAAGTCCTCTTCACTTTAAGCAAGCAAGGTTGTGCCATCTGCTTAATGCAGGTTGTTAATGAGTCTTCCTTCAATCCTGATGCCCTGTTCTTCATATAGTTCAGCTTCTCAGATTATTTGCTCAGCATACAGATTGAATAAGTATGGTGAAATTATACAACCTTGACACACAAATTTTTTGACTTTAAACAACTAAATATCCCCTTGTTTTGTTCGAACGACTGCCTCTTGATCTATGTACAGGTTCCTCATGAGCACAATTAAGTGTTCTGGAATTCCCATTCTTCACAATGTTATCCATAATTTTTTGTGATCCATACAGTTGAATGCCTTTGCATAGTCAATAAAACACAGGTAAACATATTTCTGGTATTCTCTGCTTTCAGTCAGGATCCATCTGACATCAGCAATGATATCCCTGGTTCCATGTCCTCTTAATTCAGCTTGAATTTCTGTCAATTCCTTGTCAATGTATTGTTGCAACCACTTTTGAATCATCTTCAGCAAAATTTTACTTGTATGTAATAGTAATAATATTGTTCGCTAATTTCCACATTTGGTTGGATCACCTTTCTTTGGAATAGGCATAAATATGGATCTCTTTCAGTGGGTGGCCATGCAGCTGTCTTCTAAATTTCTTGGCATAGACGAGTACGTACTTCATGCTCTGCGACCATTGGTTGAAACATCTCGATTGGTATTTCGTCAGTTCCTGGAACTTTGTTGTTCACCTGTGTCTTCAGTGCAGTTTGGACTTCTTCCTTTACTATCATCAGTTCTTGATGATATGCTACCTCCTGAAATGATTGAATGTCGACCATTCTTTTTGGTACAGTGTTTCTGTGTATTCCTTCTATCTTCTTTTGATGCTTCCTGTGTTGTTCAGTATTTTGCCTGTAGAAACCTTCAGTATTGCAATTTGAGGCTTGAATTTTTTCTTCAGTTCTTTCAGCTTCAGAAATGCTGAAGGTGTTCCTCCCTATCGGGTTTCTAACCTCAGGCCTTTGCACATGTCATTATAATACTTTGTTTTTTCGAGTCGCCCTTTGATATCTTCTTTTTAGCTGTTTTACTTCATCATTTATTTCATTCGCTTTAGCTACTCTGTGTTCAAGAACAAGTTTCAGAGACTCTTCTGACATCCATTTTGGTCTTTTATTTCTTTCCTGTCTTTTTAATGACCTCTTGCTTTCTTTCTTCATGTATGATGTCCTTGATGTCATTTCACAACTCATCTGGTCTTCGGTCATTAGTGTTCAATGCAGCAAGTCTGTTTGTGAGATGGTCTCTAAATTCAGGTGGGATATACTCAAGGTCTTACTTTGGCTCTTACGGTCTTGTTCTAATTTTCTTCAACTTCACCTTCAACTTGCATATGAGCAACTGATGGTCTGTTCCAGAGTTGGCCTCTGAGCTTATTCTAACTAATGATATTGAGCTTTTCTATTATCTCTTTCCACAGATGTAGTCGATTTGATTCCTGTGTGTTCCATCTGGTGAGGTCCACATGTATAGTTGCTGTTTATGTTGTTGAAGAAAGTAAATGAAGAAGTCGTTGGTCTTGCAAAATTCTATCATATGATATCTGGTATTTTTTCTATCACCAAGGCCGTATTTTCCAACTACTGATCTTTCTTCCTTGTTTCCAATTTTCAAATTCCAATCACCAGTAATTATCAATGCATCCTGATTGCATGTTCGATCAATTTCAGACTGCAGAAGTTGGTAAAAATCTTCAATTTCTTCATCTTTGGGCTTAGTTGTTGGTACGTAAATTTAAATAATGGTCATATTAACTGGTGTTCCTTGTAGGCTTATGGATAATATCCTATCACTGACAGCATCGTATTTCAGGGTAGATCTTGAAATGTTCTTTTTGATGATGAATGCAGCACCATTCCTCTTCAATTTGTCATTCCTGGCATGGTAGACGTTATGATTTTCTGATTCAAAATGGCCGATACCAGTCCATTTCAGCTAACTAATGCCTAGGATACCGATGTTTATGCGTTCCATTTCATTTTTGATGATTTCCGATATTCCTAGATTCGTACCCCGTACATTCCATGTTCCGATTATTAATGGAAGTTTGCATATGTTTCTTCTCATTTTGGGTCATGCCACATCAGCAAATGAAGGTCGCAAAAGCTTGACTCCATCCATGTCACTAAGATTGATGCTACTTTGAGGAGGTAGCTCTTCCCCAGTCATCTTTGGAGTGCCTTCCAACCTGAGGAGCTCATCTTCCGGCACTATATCAGACAATGTTCCACTGCTATTCTTAACATTTTCACTGGCTAATTCTTTTCAGAAGTAGACTGCCGGGCCCTTTTTCCTAGTCTGTCTTAGTCTGGAAGCTCAGCTAAAACCTGTCCACCAGGGGTGACCCTGCCGGTATTGAATACTGGTAGCATAGCTTCCAGCATCACAGCAACATGCAAGCCCCCACAGCAGGACAAACTGACAGATGTGTGGGATCATTAGCCATTAGGGAGATGCAAATCAAAACCACAGTGTGATACCACCTCACCCCCGTTAGAATGGCAATGATTAAAAAAAAAAAAGACAGAAAATAGCAGATGTTGGCGAAGTTGTGGAGAAACTGGAACCCTCACCCACTGCTGGAGGGAATGTAAATTGGTGAAGCCACTGTGGAGAACAGTTTGGTGATTCCTTAAAAAGATGAGCATAGAACTAATATAAGAGCCAGCAATCTCAATCTTAAGTATATACTCAGAAGAAATGAAAGCAGGAACTCAAGTAGAAATCCGTACACCAATGTTTATTGTAGCACTTTCAAACATAGCCAAAAGATGGAAAAAATTAAAATGTCCATCAACAGTTGAATGGATTAAACAAAATGTGGTATATGCATACAGTGGAATATTACTTAGCCATAAAGAGAAATGAAGTCCTGATGCATGCCACAACATGGATGAACCTAGAAAACATTATGCCAAGTGAAGTCAGTCACAAAAGGACAAATACTCTATGATCTCACATATATGAAATAGGCAAACATATAAAAACCAAAGATTACTAGCAGTTACTAGAGGTAAGAGGGAGGGGGAAAGGGGAAGTTATGCTTATAACCCACTGAGTTTACCTTAACGGTGGTGGAATAATTTGGAAAAGGACAGAGATAAAAGTCGCAGAACATGAAGAATGTAATCAATGTCACTGAATTGTACATGTGGAAATTGTTGAATTGATGACGGTTTTGTTGTGTATTTTCAACACAATAAAAAAAAAGGAAAAAATGTATATAGCAAATATTTCAGCAGCTTGTGAATTGCTTCTTAATTTAGTCTTTAGGGTTTTTAAAAATAAGTAAGTATTAAAATTTACTAAGTTAACTTCATCAGACTTTTTTTAAAATTGTGGTTTCTGTTTTTGGTATTTTATAATTAAAGGTCTGATTCATACCTGTGTAATATGAACATGGCATTTTTGACATTAAAAGGGATATCCACTCTTCAAAATATGGGGACCATTGATATAAGAAATAAAGTCAAATGGGTGTGGATCTGTATTTGAAGTGTCACTGGGAAAAGTTTAAAAGGCTCTCTGCTTTGTTTTGGGTTTCAGTAGCTTGTGGTTGCTCAAGTCTCTAGCTTGTCAAAGTCTGAAAATGTGAATGTTTTTCCCTTTTGTTTTCATTTGCTTCCCTTGAAACCAAGGGGTGTCTTATTTTTGAGAAAATCCACTACAAAGTATGATACCTCCAAAGAGACTCATCTTATTAAGGTTGGAACTTCTAAGGCAGAGTGATTAATTATTACGTTTTAAAACTTGTTTAGTTAATACCATGAGGATAATAGTAAATGATGAAATATTATCTTGTGCTGTTCATCATAAGGAGGAAATACTTTTATTATTTAAAGAGTACACATACAATATGAAGCATATAAATCATATACATGTCATTATGCCTGTGGAATTGAAAGAATATTGACGAATGTGCATGTGAAATTCTGGCTTATTTTATGAACTCGGTTTTAAACAGCTGGCTTATTAAGTACTGGAATAAAAGTCATTTAATGGATTGCTCTTATTGTGAAATTTTGAAAGTCATCAATCAAAATAGAAATGCCTTTTTTCTCTCTCAAAGCGACATAAGCTTTTATGAATACTGTAATCCCACATTTAACTGAGAATCTTTTTCTCTTCTAGGTTTTGTTTCTACCAATTTGACATCATACATGGCTATGGATGGCAATGCTCTTGTAAGTACCCAAGGCTTTAAAGATTAACTATCATTTTGATGAATAAATAAAATAATACGCAAGCTGATTTTAAGTTTGGCTAGCTATTTAGTATCCTTCATTTCATTAACCGCAATTGAATCAAATGATCCTTTTGTTAGGTTTCAAGGGACTTAGAATCATTAAGCATTTATTTAAGATAAAGAAACATAATCATGATTTAATATGTGTGCATATGCTATCTCTATATTTTGAGAAGCTGCTGCCTTTGGTACTAGCATAATCTCTATGGGAGAGATTCTGTTACTTATTATACTGAAATTGTTATTCTTTTAAAACAATTTTATTGCCATTGTTGTTTGGTGCCATCAAGTCGGTTCCAACTTATTGTGACCCCGTGTACAACAGAACAGAACACTGCCGGGTCCTGCGCCATCCTCACAATAGCTGCTACGTTTGAGCCCATTGTTGCAGCCACTGTCAGTCCATCTCACTGAGGGTCTTCCTCTCTTTCGCTGACCCTCTATCAAGCATGATGTCCTTCTCTAGGGAATAATCCCCTCCGAAAACATGTCCAAAGTGCGTGAGACGAAGTCATGCCATCCTTGCTTCCAAGAAGCATTCTGGCTGTACTTCTTTCAAGACAGATTTGTTCATTCTTCTGGAAGTCCATGGTATATCCATCCTTGCTTCCAAGAAGCATTCTGGCTGTTACTTCTTTCAAGACAGATTTGTTCGTTCTTCTGGCAGCCCATGGTATATTCACTATTTCTTCGCCAACACCATAATTCAAAGGCATCTGATCTTCCTTATTCATTGTCCAGTTTATAGCCATTAGCTTGCCTAAAATAGGCAAGTAACTTGAGCAAATTTATTATCCCTATTAAATAGACACGGAAGCTTATGCAGGAAGAAATTAAGATACTAGTAGCATAACATTTCTAATAGAAGGGGACTCAGGGCAGTGTGGAATTTCATGGCATGCATCTTGTTACAAATCTAATGTCTTCATGGTGGAGCATAGGGGAGAGTTTTTGGAGCAGAGCTAAAAGCAGAATCAGAAGTGGTGTGTCTGGAGAGTATAGTATCGACTTCCTGCTTAAATAAAGAACGTGGACAATGATTTCCTGATGCAATTTAGAATGTGGATGTCAAGGTAGGTGGTAGTAATAGTGATGGAGAAATGAAGCTAACTAGACAGCTCCTGGAAAAGACACTTAATGAAAAAATGGGGCAGCTGCTAAATTTTCTGCTTGCCTTGTTAACAGTTTCACATCCCAGAAATACAGAAGGCAATGCAAACCCTTTAATTTTGGTACTAATTCTAAATAAGGACGGAGGACTTGTTAGTGATGAGGAAATGGTGGAAACTTTGGGAAACAGGACTGCATAACACTAAAAGAGAAAACACAAATTGTAGTTAGTTTATATACCCTAGGAAATTCATTGTCTAAAACTGAGAAAATATAGCTGTGATCCCTTGGACGTGAATGGGTAGGTGGTTTGACAATAGAAATTCGAATGACCACAAGAAAGATAAAGAAGGGGAACAACTAAGGGAATACATATGGCGTCAATGGGGGACTTGAGCTTAGATCAGATAGATATACAGATGTATGTACAGGACGTTAAAGGAGGATCATATGGTCAAGGATAAAAGCAAATAGGTATCACAGATCTGTAAAAATAGAGTCAGGAAGGCTAAAGTTCACAGTGATGCAAGGTTTATGAAAAAAATTTAAAAAGAAAATGCGTGTGATGATAAGCACATGTGTGTTTGTGTGTTATATGGAACAAAGAAATAAAAAGGAAGAAATAGGATTGTTGGAGCCTTAGGACAGGTAACGCAATGTTCGATTCGTATATTAAATGTAATCTTCCAATTGGAAGATTTAAGAAGAAATAGAAAACAAGATAATAAGGCAGTATCTAAGCACTTTAAACTAACCAATTCATTCATTCATTCAAACATTCATTTACTTTTCACTGATTTCCTATCTCACTCTATCACATATCAGGCACTGTACTCAGCAGGAACTAGAACTTGAGCTGCCATTTTAGACAAGTTAAAATCTCCACATCTAAAATAAAGTATAATCTGGGGTATTGGAACAAAGGATGCAGATGAGATTGTCAAATGACTTACATATTATTCGTATAGCTTCCAGTTGAAACCCGCTGCAGCTCTAATATGTGACCGGCTGCCTGTTGAACCAGGGTACGAGGGAATTCTGTTCTTATTTGCGGGATCTCTATTTATGGGTCTTGCTCATTTCAGGAGCTATCCTGTGCCCCTCGGCTTAATCAGCCCCACTCTCTTCTCCTTGTCTGTCTATTTACGTTATTTTTATCTCACAGCCAACCGTGCCTGGGCTCAGCTGCTTAACATCTCTCTTAAATATTCCTTCTAGCTGCTTTTCAGCAGTTACCCTACTTTATCTTTCCATTCAGAAAATTAGTTCAATTTTCTGCTGTCATTTGTTCTCTAAATGCAATGTAGCACAGGAGACCTATTTTTATGCTAGGTAGTTTCAGTAGGTTTGACACATTTGACCTAATCACATGCCGAATTACACTTCATTTCTACCGAATTAACATTTATTGAGCTATATATGCTAGGCAGTGAGCTTAGTGCTGGGTACAGAGATGAGGAGCTTATCAGCTGGCGGGGAAGAAAGATGCTTTGAAGACGCTTTTGTAAATCCTAGTCTGATAGTTATCATTGAGGTTGGGATGGTAATGATGCTAATAAAACTACTCACGGAACTAGATTCTAAGCACTTAAAATTCTGTCATGTATTGCAATAGGATAGCATTGTCCTTCCTTGTTAAGCCGAATTGTTTGTTAACTGATAGTATTTTTTCCCCTCTCTTCTAAAGTAAACAGAAGAATTTTCAAGACTAAAGCTTCATATGGAACCAAAAGTATTAGCTTACCAAGTTTTATTGGTTAAACCTCCTAAATAGGGTTCCCTGGGTGGTGTAGGAAGACTTGGTGGCATAGTGGTTAAGAGCTACGGCTGCTAACCAAAAGGTCAGCTGATCGAATCCACCAGCCATTCCTTGGAAACTCTATGGGGCAGTTCTACTCTGTCCTATAGGGTCACCATGAGTTGGAATTGACTCGACAGCAATGGGTTTTTAGTTTGAGGTGGTATACTGTTAATGATCTCGGCTGTTAACTGAAAGGTTAAGGGTTTGAGTCCACCCAGAGGTGGCCTTGGAAGAAAGGTCTGGTGATCTACTTCCAAAAGAGCAGTCACTGAAAACGCTATGGAGCACAGTTCTACTCTGACATACATGGGGGTGCCATGAGTCGGAATCAGCTTGAGGGCAACTGGTAACTGGTACCTCCTAGATATTTCTCCATCTTCACAGCACATTTGCCCATTCCTTCAGCTCTTGCTGGCCTCTTTGCCTCTGCTTTTGCCCCCCTCCAACCCATTTGTCACTCCACAGCCAGGGTGAATTTTCTTAAATGCACATCTCATCATATCATCCATCTGCTTACATTGGCTCACTGACTTCCCATTAACCTTAGGATAACCTTCACAGCCATTGTCCCCCATGCTCCATGGTGAATGCCACTGGATCGTACCTGAATCCCTGTGTCACAGTCTGTTGTGCTCACGTCTTTGTCTTTCCGGTCCATTTTTATCAACTTGTGGGATGCCTTCCCTGACTGCCCGATTCTGTGTAACTTGCGTCTCCTGTGTGCTGCTGTTGTACCCCATTATACCACTTACAAAGAGCCCCTGGGTGGTGCAAATGGTTACATGCTTGATTGCTAGCAAACGTTGCTGTTCAAACCCACTGAGAGGCACCTTGGAAGACAGAGCTGGTGATCTGCTTCCTAGAGTTCACAGCCTTGAAAATCCTATGGAGCACTTCTACTCTGCACGCATGGAGTCACCAGGAGTCAGAATCAATTCAACGGCAACTAACAGCAGTATACCACTTATGTGCAGATCTCATTATCCTCGTTTAATTGTCTTTCTTCCATGTTTGACTGTAAGCTGTGTGAGAGCTTGCTTGTCACTGTACCCTTGGTCCTTGGCATAGAATAATTGTGCAATAACCATTTGTAGAACAAACAAAAACCATTATTTACCAGATTGGCCAGAAAGGAAGAATTAACACAATTACCTTTGGGATCTGGGTTTTAAGCTCTTTGGGGGAAATTTTCAACATTATTACTAGATTTGATACAATCCATAAACATCTTTAAGAATCCATTTATGTAGCGTCCTTTATATTTATAAGGCTTTCTCTTGCATCAAACTGCAATGATAGCAAAGTTGTTGCTTTTAGGTGCCATCAAGTTGGCTCCGAGTCATAGTGACCTTGTGTATTATGCACTAAATCACTATATTGCTTAGTTTTTTTTTTAAAATTAGTTTCTAACTAAAAAAGTAAATAAATAATGACTAGCATATATGAACCCTACAGACTTGATTAGAACGTTCTGTAGTCTTTGATTTTAGTAACAGAATGTTTTAGCTCAGAAAGGGAATCAACCTTATTTTAAAGATAACAAGGCTCAGAGGAAAAATGACAGACTATCTCTTTAAAAAAAAAAAAAATGATTTTTTTTACCCAAAGCCCCTAAACTTTCTTCTTTCCAGGCCCTTGTGAGGAAGAAATGTCAAAATTATCTTAGATAAGCCTTCATTACAGTGTTTGTTAAAGAATTTTTAAAATGACATTCCTTCATTAGAATATTGCCTGAAAATAAAATGTCAAGTGAAAACGTTTTCCCGAAACAAAATTTATGCATAATGGTTTCTTTCCTCAGTTTCCATGCTAATTAAAAACGTCCCATGAATGTGAATGAACATTTACTTCTGACACTGTGGTTAGGATATTTGCATTGCCTGCTGGGTTGAAATTTAATGTCAGACAAACCCAGGAGATTGTATCAATGATGGGCCACTTTTGGGGGGAGAAAGTATTAGAGCAAATGTTATGTTGCTTTAACACTGCTGATGTTATTTATCAATGGAGGAATTTTGTAGCTCAGA